TCTTCCCCTAGTCCCCCTAGTATTCTTTCCTCTTCCCCTAGTCCCCCTAGTCTTCTTTCCTCTTCCCCTAGTCCCCCTAGTCTTCTTTCCTCTTCCGCTAGTCCCCCTAGTCTTCTTTCCTCTTCCCGTAGTCTTAGTCTTCTTTCCTCTTCCCCTAGTCTTCTTTCCTCTTCCCGTAGTCTTAGTCTTCTTTCCTCTTCCCCTAGTCTTCTTTCCGCTTTCCTCTTCCCCTAGTCTTCTTTCCGCTTTCCTCTTCCCCTAGTCTTCTTTCCGCTTCCCCTAGTCTTCTTTCCTCTTCCCCTAGTCTTCTTTCCTCTTCCCGTAGTCTTCTCTTCCCGTAGTCTTCTTTCCTCTTCCCCTGGTCTTCTTTCCTCTTCCCCTAGTCTTCTTTCCTCTTCCCCTAGTCTTCTTTCCTCTTCCCGTAGTCTTAGTCTTCTTTCCTCTTCCCCTAGTCTTCTCTTCCCCTAGTTTTGTTTCCTCTTCCCCTAGTCTTCTTTCCTCTTCCCCTAGTCTTCTCTTCCCCTAGTCTTCTTTCCTCTTCCCCTAGTCTTCTTTCCTCTTCCCCTAGTCTTCTTTCCTCTTCCCCGCACAAGCGATTTTTTTGAGCCCAAAAATCGCTTTTTGGTTTCGGGAGGCCCCAGGCTGAGCAAAAGCGATTTTTTGATCCCAAAAATCGCTTTTTGCTTTCGGGAGGCCCCAGGCTGAGCAAAAGCGATTTTTTGATCCCAAAAAACGCTTTTTGCTTTCGGGAGGCCCCAGGCTGAGCAAAAGCGATTTTTGGAGCCCAAAAATCGCTTTTTGCTTTCGGGAGGCCCCAGGCTGAGCAAAAAGCGATTTTCGGGCTCAAAAAATCGCTTTTTGCTTTCGGGAAGCTGCAGGCTGAGCAAAACAATTTTTTGAGCCCAAAAATCGCTTTTTGCTTTCGGGAGGCTCCAGGCTGAGCAAAAGCGATTTTTTGAGCCCAAAAATCGCTTTTTGCTTTCGGGAGGCAGCAAAAGCGATTTTTGGAGCCCAAAAATCGCTTTTTGCTTTCGGGAGGCCCCAGGCTGAGCAAAAGCGATTTTTGGAGCCCAAAAATCGCTTTTTGCTTTCGGGAGGCCCCAGGCTGAGCAAAAGCGATTTTTTGAGCCCAAAAATCGCTTTTTGCTTTCGGGAGGCCCCAGGCTGAGCAAAACCGATTTGGAGCCCAAAAATCGTTTTTTGCTTTCAGGCTGAGCAAAAGCGATTTTCTGAGCCCAAAAATCGCTTTTTGCTTTCGGGAGGCCCCAGGCTGAGCAAAAGCGATTTTTGGAGCCCAAAAATCGCTTTTTGCTTTCGGGAAGCTGCAGGCTGAGCAAAAGCGATTTTTGGAGCCCAAAAATCGCTTTTGCTTTCGGGAGGCCCCAGGCTGAGCAAAAGCGATTTTTGGAGCCCAAAAAATCGCTTTTTGCTTTCGGGAAGCTGCAGGCTGAGCAAAAGCGATTTTTGGAGCCCAAAAATCGCTTTTGCTTTCGGGAGGCCCCAGGCTGAGCAAAAGCGATTTTTGGAGCCCAAAAAATCGCTTTTTGCTTTCGGGAAGCTGCAGGCTGAGCAAAAGCGATTTTTGGAGCCCAAAAATCGCTTTTGCTTTCGGGAGGCCCCAGGCTGAGCAAAAGCGATTTTTGGAGCCCAAAAAATCGCTTTTTGCTTTCGGGAGGCCCCAGGCTGAGCAAAAGCGATTTTTTGAGCCCAAAAATCGCTTTTTGCTTTGAGCAAAAGCGATTTTTTGAGCCCAAAAATCGCTTTTTGCTTTCGGGAGGCCCCAGGCTGAGCAAAAGCGATTTTTGGAGCCCAAAAATCGCTTTTTGCTTTTGGGAGGGGCCCAGGCTGAGCAAAAGCGATTTTTGGAGCCCAAGAATCGCTTTTTGCTTTCGGGAGGCCCCAGGCTGAGCAAAAGCGATTTTTTGAGCCCAAAAAACGCTTTTTGCTTTCGGGAGGCCCCCAGGCTGAGCAATCGGGAGGCCCCAAAGCGATTTCCTGTCGTGGGGTGAAAGAACAAAAATTGTCGGGGGGTGGATGGGTTTCTTGTCGGGGGGTGGGTTTTGGGTTGCTTGTCGGGGTTCGGGCGCGCCCTCGTAAGGATGCTGGCAGCCAGACATGAGCGTTTCCTAAACCCACCCCTTTCGGACATGCAGCCAAAGCTAGCAGTAATGTTTGGCGAAGGACGGAGGAAAGATGGGGTCCAATTTTTTCGGACGTTCGTTTGGATGTGGCTGAAATGGGTCTGGCGAAAAGCAGTGGCCGAAGCTGATCGCTTGGGGCCGGGGACTTCGTGCAATGGTCGACGAGGCTAGGGCTGGGTGTGGGGTGAAGCTGGTGGCTGGGGCTTGAAGGCTGGGGAAGCGGCTGTGGCTTTGTGCTGGCCCGCAATGTTTGCTTTTTCATTTAGGTTCTTTTTCTGGCTATGTGCGCATATAGATAAATAAACAACACACATATTTTATAATATATATATATATGTGATAATGTGTACATGTCATATACACTTTGCTTGATCCATTTGTCATCCATTTCGTCTCATTCCCACGATGCTTTTCTTCGTGCCGAGGAGGAGGTCATGGCCGAGGCCCCTCTCCCGAGGCGCCAAAGGGTCTTCGGGCCTTCGTCTGTGGCTGGAACACCAACCCCCCCCGGGCCGAGAATGGGGGGAACGTCCCCAAAACCGAAAGAGGGAACCCTCAAAGTAGAAGTTTCCCTTGGACCTTTCTTCAGCCACCCAAAAAAACGATAGCCTCAAGAACGCCACACCCACATGGGCGGTTTTCTGTTGGGGGTGCCTGTTTCGCCTTGGTTTAGAAAGGACACTCACAGAGCCATATGTGGTTGAGCCGTGTGGAACCCTGGTGAATGAACGCATCAAGGTTGTTTTGTCCCTTACCAACACGTAGCCCGACAAAAGGAAAAGCGAACTCTTGCTCCATTCCGACGGCCTAGTTGACACTCCTACCTTCCTTGTCACCGACAAGGAGCCAGGTGCGCATCTCAAAGGACCATCGTTTAGATACAAGTTGGCCCTTCTTTTCGTTTTTTTTTTTTTTTTTGGGGGGGGGGGGCATGTTCAAGCGGATAGAAGAATCCCGGCTTCACCTGGCGAATCCGCAAATTTCAGCCGGAGTTGTCTCCCCAACAACAGCCGCTCGCAGATCCGTTGCCCAGCGAATCTTCTTTTGGGATGGGAAGAGGGCAAACCAAACGGCTGAGATCTTCTCGACTCGCTGCTCCAGGCCTGTGTCACGGAACAAGAAACCACTGGAGGAGCAGGCCGCCAGCTTTCGGTGCTCTCGAGGTCAAACACGGGCTCCCGTTCGGTGCTAGTGCAGGGGGGTCCAGTGACCCATGTACTTGTGGTGAGTTTGGGGGGAAAACAGTTGCTGCGTTTGGTTTTGTTCTGTTACTTAAGCCCTCGAGGCTAATTACAGCCTTGGCAAGGTCCTTGTTATGGACAGTCAAAACCGGTCCTTTCGAAGGGATCAGGTTTGGTCCGGCCGATTGTTGAGCATTGGGGCAGGTCGTTCCCCAACAACCCTGTGTTGTGAACGTTTTTGTGGGTTGATGCTCAAGAGTCCTGCAGAGGACCCCCCTTGGGGGAGCTATTGAATGCTTCCAGTGGGGCCTGAGGTGGGTCCTCATTTGTTTGAAGCGAGGAGAGAACCATGCCCAGTCCTCCAGAGGTGCCCTTTGTTCGATTTTTTTGGAGGGGATTTCCTTCTAAAAAACAACTGGCGGCTCTGGATTCTTGGTCCCCTTCAGCGAATCTTTGTTGGCAACACCGTGCCTCTAATTGTTCGGTCTCTCTGTCGGCGTGTTGTTTCTCCTTGAGTGTGCCGTATTTATCTCATGTTTGTCATAATTTTTGTTTTTCTGCCTGCTTAGTCGTTTGTACCCCTTCACCTTCTCTCCCCTGCTTTCTCCCCCCACTGTTTCTTGCTTCAACCTCCTTCATGTGGCCCAATCTTCAAACCTGTGACGGGTGGGAGGCTACCCCTTTTCTGTGGGAAATGGAAACCAAAAGGAGAACCACCATAGACAACCAGCATTTCTGGACTTCCCCTCAAAAACAACACACACACACACACCTACTAAAATAGACTACAGAAAAAGGGTACCCTTATTCTAACCTCTCTACTGGAGGATCCAGTGTGTGTGCACATCGGATAGGAGCGCTTTTGCGCTCGGGACACCTCGGTTTGCGAGGCATTCAAGGGCGGCGGCAGCAGCGTCAAGTCGGTGGTTTTCACGTGAGCCTGGGGGGGGGGGGGCGCACGTAGAGCACATAGATGATCTGGCTATTTGTCAGACTTTGGGGACTTGCAACCATCGTAAGTGGGTGAATTGTCACCATGTTGAACATCCAAGCAGAGCGCAGGCTTGCAAGCCAACTTGCGCAGCTCTAGGGGAGTTGTTGGGCAAGCCCATGTGGTTAGGGGACAGAGAACAACCCTTTGGAGCTCTGACTCAAGTTTCAGGCGCAAGTGCAAGTACCTCAGCTTTTGAACCTCCGAGAAAAAAAAACAAAAAAAACAAAAAAAACAATGTTGATTCTGGTCTGTTTAGTGAAGCTTCAAGTTCGCATTTTCAAGTTCTGGCACCAAGCCCGACTCGGAGCAACACCGTCAACCGGCGTCAACCATTTCAGGGCTTGCACGAAGTTAAGGGCTTGAATGAATGTGTTCCTTTGAACTTTCCATGACGCTCCCGGGTGCGGGTATCTCACCCAGGATGCTTCATCAAAAGAACAGCAGGATGGGCTGCCCGGACTCTGCAAACAAATTGCGGGGTTGCCCTAGTATATGAATGCTTCGCTTAGCGAGCTCACCCACTCGCACTTTTATCAGAAGCTTGTCATTTTTGGTGGATGTTACTCAGGGTTGCCCCGTGCCTCACAAAGATGACCAAGATTTCAGGGCAGAAATGAGGCCAAAAGCTGTGGTTCCCTTGATCAGGGACCAGATTGTTTTCTCAAAACCTGGGTAGATGAAGGTTAGTAAGGGGCAGTCCCAGCCGGAAATAGTCGCGGCCGCCTTTGTAATTCTTTACATGGCTTTGGGTTCACCATGTTTGTACCTGTGACTCAACTTGTGCCGTCATTGGAGCAACCCAGCACCTTGTTTCTCCAGGTACACACCGTCACGGGTCACTTTGACCATGGGTCAGCGGACGGAGATTCGCCCAGCACTCTTTGGGCCGACGGCAACGAGGCCGGAACGAGCGACACAGCCCATGGCTGGAGTCAAGAGACCGAGGCTCTGGCATCTCTTGTTTTTGGCTCTGACATTTCACGTTTTACCGTGGACCAGAACGAAACCTGTTCTTTTCGGTTGGGGTTAAAGTCAGTGGCCGCTAATGTTTTACATGGCGTGTCTTAAACCAGGGAAGGAGACCACCACAAATCAGATGTTGGCTCCCTACAACAGATATACTTTCACCGGCCATCCAAACGGACCCGCGCCCTTTTTTTTGGGAACGACCTGTTTTGTTGTGCTTGTTTCTTGTGCCCTTCTTTACAAACAGGCCCATCAATCACACAAAGCAAACCAAACAACACAAGCAAGTGAAGCAAGACATGGCAAATCAAGCAAGATTTTAGTATTAGAAGGGGTCGCCCCAGGTGTTGCCAGATAGATGGAGGTGAGTAAGGGACAGTTTTAAAGCACATGAGCCAGCCAAGTCTAAATAGTATGGTGTTGGGTACCCCATTTTCTTGCCAGATTTACCAGGTTTTGATCCCGACTCATATAGGCCGTAGTCCTCAAGCACCCCGTGTCTCCCAATACCGTCCGCGGACCGAGCGTGAGACAGGCGCTTCAGCTGCCTCGGCCGCCTTCCCGAAGGGCGCGGGCCTGAGCCGAGGGCGAGCCGCGAGCGTTTCGTTGCGAACGCCCGGTGCTGATCTGAAAAACCTGGCTCACAGGCGGACTTGGACCATTGGAGGTGTTGATAAGATTGGGTTCGAGGGCGGAAATCGGACGAACATGGTGTTGATGGCAAACAATTGGGCTCAGCAGCTGATTTAGGTGATTTAGAGGATGAATCAGGGGAACATGGTGTTGATAGGATTAGGTTCAGCTGATTTGGAGGAGCAACATCCGGTTTATCAACGGGAGGTTTTTTTTTGAATTGTGTTTGTGGCTTTTTCCCATTGACCAGCGAGAGGCTGTTGATCTTTCGTGGCTTCTCTATGGTCAGGGAGCGTCTGGCAATCTAGTTGACAAAAGGTTGCAACATGGATCAACTAGCGCACGAGCAAAACAATCAGCTTCTGTGAAACTTGGGCGCCAAACACAGCACATTTGGAGGGGGGTTCAGAATCACTTTTCTTCTTAGGATGGAAGGTGTGACGGACCGAGTGGGAGTCCCGAACAGAGTACACAAGGCTTGCCCTGCCGCGAGACCTGGGGGGAAGATGCCGCAGGGGTTCTGTCTTGGGCGGGCAGGATTGATTTGACTTGGGTTTTTCACAACCCAGGCCCCAAGCCCTTGTGCAGTGCAAATGCGTGCACTTACAACACGTGTTGCCGAGCATTGATTGCTGCGGAACTGTGGCTTTTGTTGAGCTGGGGAATCGCCATCGAGGTGGTGCGGCGGCTTTTACGCTTGTTCACTGCCTGTGGATGAAAGACGAACGAAGACAGGGAGAGCATGGGCAGGAAGACAACTCATTGTGTCCGAACATTATCATCTTAATGTAATCCGATTCGTATACGTGTTTAATTATGTGTTTGTTTGTTGTGTTAATCTGGTATTTATTATTTTCTTGTCTTCTTCATATTATCATCGTATCTTGTTTCAACTTTCTATCAATCACTCGTTAACTTGTGTTCATATTGTTAGTTTCCTATCTTACCCCTCTCGCATTTAACTTGTGTTCATTATATTATGTTGCTATCTTATCTCTCTGCCATTTGCAGGTGTTCATCATGGATATCCTAATATTTGATCCCCTGCATTCGTGCACGGCTGCATCATTTGGAGACAATAAGATAGCGAGTTGTAATTCTAGCGGCGCCGCAGATCGCAGGTTGGATGTAGGACTCAGGATCACTTGCATCTGTACTAAGCATAGGCAGTTTGCTATTCCGCCTGAAATCGGCCCTTGTTTGCAGTGGTTCCCCCGTCGGTCCCGTCGGTGAAGTTCAAGCCAGCAAAGCAAAGCTTTTCACTGAAGGCTGAACCTGGACGCTTTGACGGGCACGATCAGCGGGCAGCCAACGGCGGGCTGCCCCTGGGAAGCTCGGTGGCAAGCTTCGGGTCAGCGAAGAGAGGTTGTTCCAAAACAAAAAGCCAACATGGATGCTTTTTGGGCTGTTCAAAGCACAACGAGTGGTGGAAAATGAGGAGCCAAAGAGAGAATTGGCGCTTGCTTTCTGGGCGATCGTTGAGGTTGGTGAACATTATGTTTCACCCATGTGTTTTTCTTTAATTGTAAACGCTGCGCGTTGCCCGCCTCGTCCCCCCTCCAGAGAAGAGGTGGGGCGAAGATTCTCTTCGGAAAAGAGATTTGAGCGCCCCTGGCAACCTTGGGGCCGAGGCAAATTCCAGATGCATTGTCTCGATTGCACAGTTGCATCACATCAGAAAGCCCTTGCGCCTCGTCCCACGCGCCACAGGTTTGAAATTGCGTCCACGCAATTCCCGTGGGATCGTTTCTGGGCAAACTACTATCATCTCCAAAGAGGGAACCGTGTAAAGGGTGAACGTGACGCAGCAAAAGACCACCCCACCACCCCATGCCCCTTTGCCGATCCCACTCCGCATGCCAAGGAAGTTTTCACCATTCAGGCGCGGGCTTCTCGACCATCTCTCGCATCACGCGCCGAGCGCGTTGGGTCGAGAACAAAAAGGTCAACTGGTTCCATGGAACCCATAGGGTCCCGTTCAAGCTGACACCCAGTCAGGTTCCATGTTGGTGGGAGGCTATTGGTTGTAACGCCCTCCGAAACAGTGGGCGGACATAAATCCAGCCCTGTATTTCTGATGTCGCCAATTGAAATTCGCACCCACATTGCCTGTTCAACACAAAAAACAAACACATCAGATTCTGTTTGCCATAGATTGCGTGAGATTAGCCTGTGTAAGGCGAGGCAAGGTTGTGCTGGTGCCAAGTTGCAGCACATTGAAATGCCATGTTTGGTGTGTGCATGTGTATGTGTATGTGCAGATGGGTGGGTAGGGTAGGGTAGGGTAGGGTAGGGCAGGGTAGGGTAGGCTAGGGTAGGGTAGGGATAGGGCCTAGGGTAGGGTAGGTAGGTAGACTCTGTGTGTGTGTGCGGTTTAAGTCCGTTTCAAAGCAGGGGACACCCCGATTCCCTTTACATGGAACCATGCGTTTTGTCGCAACAGCCCGCCATTTGCGATGTCCAACCTTGTCCCCTGCAGAGACGACCACATATCCCCCCCCTCCACACCCCAGAGCAGGGTGAACATTGTTGAATCAATCACCATTCCATTTCCATTTGTGAGGAGGAATAAATTAATGCAACTAGGGTGGCCTCTCTTCACCTTCAAAGGGAGACTACAGAAGTCAAGCAGACCAGGATGGCAAAACCTGGGTAGGTGGAGAGCAATGTCCATTCCCAGCCATGAATACAGGGCGCCTTTGTATCCTACACTTATTCACTCCTTTGGTGTTTTGGAAGATCAGACCTCCCATGGCATTGCGGCTTGCCTCGGCCTTTTGAGGCTCGATGAGTAGGCGGCCCTTCACTGCCGTTTGAGCGGCCTTGAAACTCAAAATTCAGTGGCTTGCTGTTGCATGCACGCACACATGCAGGCTTGTTCCCAAAACATCGAACAAATCCCCAGCCCGCCTGGTATTAGTTCAAGGATTTCGGAAGAGGGCGACAAGTGCGGTATTCTGTAGTGTCGCCATTCCCGAAGGCAACGCTGTCGCCTCGAAACAAGCCTTGCGATCGAGACATGCAGGAGGTGTTGCCCTCATGAACTTGATAGAACAGTTTCTCCCTGTGGCTAATCTGCAAAGTCCATTTGAGTTTGTTTCAAAGCACAATTTTGGAACCCGAAAATGGTGGGTTTCCCTTGAACGCAACCGAAAGGGGGTTCCCTCAAAAACGACACGCCCACTTGGGAAGGCGGGGGCAAGCAGCCAGGTGGAGATGATGGACGGCCAGACTGCGCAGGTCTCAGAGCCGGACGAGCTGTGACCAATGCTTCGCTGGTCGATTCGCTGGGCAGGGCTTGGCATGGCCACATCCGCATGGTGTTGCAAGGGTTGCGCTGGTTGTTTCGGCGCATGGAACCCCGATGACAAGGAACGCAGCTGGGGTGGATCTCCTTTCCTCCCCGTTTTGCGGGTGGCCCGTTTTGCCTGTATTACTCACGTGAAACCAAGGCGCAGACTGGCCTGGAGATCGAGGTGGTGGACTTCTCGCGCGGAGGCGAGGGGAAAGGAATCGCCTCCAACCGGCGGTCTAACCGGCGGTTCCCCGGGCGTTGGGACCTGCGGCATTCCTTTGCTCGTTTTTTTTCTTGTGGTAACTCCCTTCCCCAACAGGGTAGCCTTTTGTTCTCCATGGCCACAGGTGTGGGAAGGGGGAAAACCCCGAAAAGATGGCCCCGATGCGCGAGGGGTGGCTTCTCGTAGCTGAGGCTCAACTTGGTGATTTGAAACAAGACATCCACCGGACCAAAAGGAAGCCGCAACTTTGGATGTCATTTGGACAGTTTAGCGCATGGAGATGGCCTTTGGATGAAGATCTCGAGAGATTTCTGGCAAGCAAACACATTTCTCTCAGCCTCTAACACAGATGCCCCCAAGAAAATCCACGGTATATAACATTTGGTTTCGTTCCGAGAACCTTTCATCAAGAAGTCTCTGCTGTGAGGTATGCCAGGGTGAAAATAGATGGCACATTCCCCTTAGGCAAAGGGAATGACTAAACAAACATGAGGGAATGGCTGAACCAAAACGTGCCATCCACTTTCACCCAACTGTATGCCAACTTCAGCCCACCCCCCCCCAAGCCAACCATGGACCCACAGAAACCGAGGCTTCGTGGTGGGCCACATCAGCGAGGTGACGCCGGGCCGCCCCTCGGGTGACAACAAGGGGCTTGGCCTGGCTCGCTCGCCTCGGACGGTGCCGAAGGTTCGGAGATCGAGGTGCGTTTAGAGCTTGCTGGTGCGATAGGCAGGGAATGAGAAATGGAATGACCCCAATAACCCATCCTTGATGATTTCTCTTTAAGGGGACCCTTGGGTTCAGTCCCACATTCCCTACTCAGCACAAGCAAGAGAGGTCTGAGAGCGGTCTTTGGAAGCGTTGACGGCGTGAGAACCTGTTGCTGCTTTGGAAGTCATGCTCGAACCAAGAAAAGCCAAGATGCCTTGATGGAAAAAGCAAACTTTTGCACCAGCATCGGTGTTCAATCCACACAAGCTACGCGCACCCACACACACACAGACACGCACACGCACAGACAAACAGACACACAGAGACACGCACGGAGAGACGCAGACACACAGACACATACACACACAGAGACACAGACACAGACACACACACACACAGACACACAGACACACATACACGGACACACAGACACACAGACGCACAGACACACAGACACACAGACACACAGACACACAGACACACAGACACACAGACACACACACACACACAGACACACACACACACACACAGACACACAGACACACATACACAGACACACACACACACACAGAGACACGCACAGAGACTCGCACAGAGATACACACACTCGCACAAAGCCACGCACACATAAAAACACACATTGTCGCACAGGAAGACTGGAAAAACGAACAGGAACACAGGAACACAGAAGCGGACCAACACACACACACACAAATAAAGAACCACACACGCACACAGAAAATATCCGCCGCAATGTAGAGTTCTACGCCTTTCAGATGTTGGTTACGCGCAAAATCAGTTCCAGCAGATTCCGCCGTCTGAAGAAGCAAATTGTAGAAAATGTCCACAGGAAGTTAGGGCAATTAGGCTAACTTCCTGTAGTCATGAAAGGCCCGGCAGGCATGTTCAAAACACATGTGCTCTTTGTGACGTATCATAAACGTTTCGGCTGAGTCACTGAGGCTTCATGCTGGTGGCATCTTGACTGCAAGTCCGCAGGTTCGCGCAGTCTGCGGAATGCACTTCACGAGACCCGTGCCACGGAGATTGCTCAAGTCGTGCGATTTTTGTTCGGCTCCATGTTGATTTTGGGAGCACATGTTTGAGGGTACCCTTTGCAGGTTGGTAAGGGAGAGCAAGAAAACAGCGGTGAGCCCGCGCTTTGCCAGCTATGACAGCGGTTGGCCATATGGAAGCTGGTGCATTATGATTAGGCCGTGCACTCCTTTCTTTGGAGGGCTTTTGAGTGAGGTTCAGCCAAAGATTTTCCGGTGCTTCGACATGCTTCCCGCCAAGAACCATGGATTTGAATGAGGAACATCCTCTGAAATGATTGGCAGATGTACATCCCCATGCTGCCCACCAAAGGGTTCCCAAGTAAAGGCCAGACATTCTTGATCAACATGGAGCCCAAAAAGCCCAAAAAGCCATCGCGGTCAAGTTGGAATCTTCTTGTGACGGCCCCTGGATTCCATCGTCAGCTTGCGCACCGAGCCAACAGGTCTACAAACCCGAGGAGGCCGAAGTCAAGCCGCAGGAGTGGCGAGCTCGTTTTTGCCGAGATGGTGATGGGTACCCTTCCTCCCACTAACGTGGTACCCGTGAAAAACATCTGGAAGATCAGTTTCCTCTTGGAGGAATTCCCTGTCAGGTGCCATGTTGGTGGAAGGGAGGGCGTGGAAGGGAGGGTGACCTTCTCTTGGGTTGCTTTAAAGGGAAACCAATGGGAAAACTCCCATTTTGGGCCTATTTCACGACACACCCATGTAGGGTCCTTTTTCGGGATGCCGGCTTTCGGGTGTTGGCATGAACTTGCAAAAGTCAGCGAGTTGCCAGTTCCGCAGCTGACTTTGGTTCATGGTATTTTGTAGCCAGGATGCGAGAAAACCTTTGCAGTTCGGCGACTGACAGCAGCATGTTGATTTGATGCCGATATGCTGTCGATCTTTCCTGTTAGCCTGGCCGCTTGGTATATATGCGACCTCCAATCCAACCTTTGAAGCGCATGATGCTTTGCCTGGTTCCACTCCAAACAACGCACATGTCTTCGTTGCCTGGTTCGGACTTCCGGTGCAAAGTCCGCAGACAGTTCTCTGCTCATTCGGATCCCAGGTTACCTACCCAGATCGGCGAACTCCGAACCAACCTCGATTGGGATCGGAGAGAGAAGCCCATTGCCGCTTTCTTCTCAAATTCCAAGCACTTCTAGGTCAGTAGTGCCCTTTTGCCCAACTTCAGAACGAAGGGGGTACACTTATTCGAACCTCTCTACTGGAGGACCTATAGACTTAATGCGCCTGTTTGAGTGGGCCAGAGGCTGCAAGGCAAGTCCAGCCTGGCCAGCAGCCTGCCCGTTGCATACTGGACACCGTAAAAATATCACGTGTGCGCTCGCAAACCGGCACGGATTCCGATTGGACCAGGTGACATTTTGTTGGTGTTGTTTCTGTGTGCGTATTCTTACGCAGAAGGTCGCGGGCAGCGAGAGAAGCTTCGCGACACGGCCATGAATCTTAATAGGGAACCACCTCAAAAGTGGGTGGTGGACATGAATCCAGACCATGATGTCCACCAAAGGGTCCCTCATTAAGTTCGGGCCCACATTAACTTGGCGAATGCTTGAAGCTCGCATTACAAACGATCCTTGGCAGCCATGGGCTGCGCCGGCGTTTCTTCCGGAAATGTTGGAAGTAGTCGAAGGGGTCAAGTTGGATTGAAGGTATTGGTACCAACCCTGCAAACTAACCCCGAATGCATCGTTCATTCTTGATGCTTGGTCTACGACGAAGTCTGACCCGCGGAGACTTGCCAGGATGTGCAAAACCTGAACCTGCAGAGCAGCCTGTCTTTCCAAGGGCAGCCAGGACCTTCGGCCTTCAAATTGGGGAGGGGAGCTATGCACAGTGTGAGGCCTGTCCTAGAGGTTGGGGAGAGAGCAGCCCTGTCCTGAAATCATATCCACTCTGACCTTGGGTTGAACTTAACTTTCCAACGCATCCAACTTCGTCATGTCCAGGGGCACCGCCCCTGACATGGTCGAAGCCACCCACTCCAAATGGCACGCACGGAGGAGGCTGGATCAGCAGCCAGATGCCCAGCGAGCGTGCGGGGCCATGCCTTCAAATGGGTGTTTTTTTGTTTGCTTTCCTTCACAACCACCCCAAAACGGGTTTCCCGCCAACAAAGAAGGAGGCAAGGGATCCAAGTTGTTCAGTGGCGATTAAAACTGCCTGGTGGTTGGAAGGGAGCCAAGGAGCCGGGGATATTCTAATTTGCTTTTGTAGAGGTAGCGAAGGAGCTACCGGGAGTTCCGTGAGCACAGGGTAGAGCATGCACCACACGACCAAAGCAAGAGTACTGTTTTTCTGGCTTGGATAGTAGGCAAGTGTGATGCATTGGATTGGTCTGCTGAGCCCAGCGCCTTGAGTTGAGTTGCGCTCAGGACATGGCGGTTTAGACAAATACGACTTCGGATTCACACCAGGAGCCCAACAGAGCAGGATTTTAGAGGATTCTCCTTCTTGCCCCCGCCTTTTTGGGGTCCCAAATCAATTTGCAGAGGAGGTCTTTTAACCGTGGACTGATTGCCCTGCTTCTTTTGTCAAGCAAGCAAGCTGAATGGCCATCCCACTGCTTGCTCTGTGTGTGTGTGTGTGTGTGTGTGTGGGTGCGTGCGTGCGTGCGTCCGTGCGTGCGTGCGTGCGTGCGTCCGTGCGTGCGTGTGCGCGTGCGCGTGCGCGTGCGCGTGCGCGTGCGCGTGCGCGTGCGCGTGCGCGTGCGCGTGCGCGCGCGCGTGTGGGTGTGTGTGTGTGTGTGTGTGGGTGTGTGTGGGTGTGTGTGGGTGTGTGCGTGTGTGTGTGTGTGTGTGTGTGTGCGCGCGTTGAACCACTTGCTGAGTGGGTGGCTATGCATTTGTTTAGAGTATGGAACCAATTTCAAAGTGGTTGGCGAACATGAATTCCCTCCTAAACTCCCACCCCAATGATGTCCCCTCAATCAGTCTCTTACAAATCACACCTGATTGTGGCGTATTGGATCCTGCTCGCATCTACTAGAAGTGGCACCACTTTGGAAAAGCATTGTAAACATCTTCACCATCCAGCCACATCATTCGCAGATTGGTTGTTTTCGTCGACCTGCCCCTGGCCTTTGCTTTTTTCAAGGGGATGCAAAGACGTGGCTAACTTTGGGTCGTTGCCCCTTGACGTCTTTGTTGTTCAGGTGGCCGGTTTCTTTGCCACTCGCTCGTCACATCCGGAGACCCGAGGCTAGGGCTGCGAGTGAGCCGGAGGGAGCCCGCCGGAGCCAGCGCTTGGAAGTTGGCTGGGTCTGCACGGGCGCTTTGCCGGCCTGCCCCCCCCGCGATTCCGCGATTCGATGTGCGTTCTTTGGGGTTGTCATCCGAAAGCCAAAAACCAGACCACATGTTATTTTATTTTTCGGCAGAATGTTGGCACACACTCAACAGATCACGTTCGGAATTGGGCTTTGGCCCACAAGCAAATCGACCTTTCGGGCCCTGCAGTTTTTAATTTGGAAACGACAGCCGGGTGAAGCATCGAGGAATCCAGTTTGCCTTCTTGTAAGTTCTTTGGGTGTGATGCCACGTAGGTGCTGCGAGACAACATGCATGCTGCTTACAGGATATGGTGAGATCGGCTCAATCATCACATCTTCCCGCTTTCAACTTTTATTGTGGCTCTTTGGGGCGGGGCAGTCCGATCATCGCAGAAGGCAACGGCGGCTCCAGGTGAAATCCCAGCGGCCGCGGCTCGGCTCCAGTTCCTGCTTTTGGGGTTTCCCAGTTGAGCGCGGCGCGGAACGCGCGGAACGGCGCCAGGTGTGCCGTGCCGGATGAACCAGGAGGCGGCTTGCCGAGAGGCCGCCAGGAAGACATCAGCTCAGACTCACGGAGACTCGTCCAGGTTCATTCCGGGAGCTGCCCGCCAGGAACCCGTCTTTTTGTGGAGTCGGCGGCAGAGGTTTCGTTGCAAAGATTGCAACGATTGTTTCAAGCATGCAATGGCCGAAGCAAGAGGGAGTCACTGACTTTAAGCCACCCCCTGCCTTACAAGCGGAATGTGCTTTGGGGCATGGCCATGAAACTATATCCGCCGTTTTGAGTAGTTAAATAGCTACGTCGTTGGTGTCCTCTAACGCTGAAGTTTGGCCATTGCTCCAATGACCGATGGGGCCGTCAGGGATGCACAGGCATATGATGACTCACTCGCGAGGAAGGCATGAGAAGTGCTAAGCAACTGTAACGCATCCCAGAAGCTCATGTCACTTTCATGGTTCACGCAAGCTGCAATGTGTGCGCCGCCCTGAATGTGTTTGTCTTGGCATGACTGGGAGAATCTGGAAAAGGCTTGGATTTTGGGCATTTGTGTTTCTTCTTGATGCTTCATTGCTGAACCAGTATGCATCGCTAGAGATTTGAAGCTTCCGTTTGTGTGCACCAATCGCATGGTCTACCTGGGACAAGAAAGAGGCCCTTGTTTGTTTCGACCCTCGGTGAGCCCTAAATCTAACCCCCACAACGAGCGCATCCTCGCGAGTGGCGACATATCCCCTGACGGCAGTCCGGAAGGCGTGACTTGGGGGATTTGAAGCGCTTGGCCAACATCAACAGTCTCAGATGTACATGCGCCCATTGCAGGAGCGACTTGGACAAATCGCCAAATCACAATTTGCAAGGAGCACCTTATTAAAACGATTTGGCGCTCTCATGGGGGCCTTGCCCAAGATGCATCATGATTGTTGGACATGCGGTTTTAGGACCGCTTTTTGTGATAAGGGATTCCCTTCAAGGTCATAAACTACTCATTGGAATGACTGTAGGTATCTCACCAGCAAGATGTTTTGAGAGTCCGACGGCGAAAAACACGCCAACTTGACTGGCACGCCTGTCCCGGACGGCTGGGACGCTTGGAGGGGGACTTCTGTTCCTGCCGCCTCCACGCTCGAGCCCGGGTCACAATTGGGAGCGGACGACTCCAATGCATCGGATCGGCAGCGCTGGGGAGGACTTGGCGAACCCACAAACTTTGGGGTACCCTTTTTGGGCTGGTTTAAAATAGGAAACCAAAAGGAACTCAATTCTTGGGGCCCCTTACTTTAAGGCACATTCAACTGGCTGGACATAAACCCCAAGGTCAGAATCGGTCGGGACCCGACACAAGCTCGCAACCAGCTATTGGAGGCTCGGAGTGACAGATATTTCGGCCATGTGGTCTGTGGCATGTCTGTGGCTTGTGACTCTCCTGTGACTGCCAGTCTCTCGCCGGTTTCGGAAGGCATGTGGCGGCGAGTTTCAAAGGGCCAGAGCCATATGCATACTGCATCTGCAGGTACACCGCAGCCAATCCAGCGGATTGGGGCAACAGAGGTTGGCTGTTTGCATGCAAAAGGAAAATGGGGACCTGGTAGGGGCGCCTGTTGTTGCCCCGGACATATGGCTTGGAGAGAAGATGTTAGCTGTCTCAGCCCCGACTTTGGCTTTGGATTGACAGCGGGACTAGTGAGCAAGAGCTGGATCGAAGTTTTGCGCCATGGCAGAGCAGACACAGGCATTGGTAATTATGTATTTTGGGCTCCCTTCGGATCGGTTTGGTCCAGCTGCGGCAAGTACCGCGTCGGAAAATGTCCCTGCGAGGTGAATGCAACGGATGTGCTGTGCCCTGGAAAAACCATGCCCCAGCTTTTGGAGTACTGATTGATACATGCCAACGAAGATGCCTTTGTGTGTTGCCGAACGTTTTTGGCTGTTTGGTTTCAGGCCTATTTGAGCTTGGTTTCATTCGATCGATGCAACCTGTGTGCTGCCATACGGCATGACACAGGCAGATCGAATCGGAAGAAGTCTCGGGGCACGCTGAGATCCCGTCGTCGCAAAGTTACCAAGAAGGGTCTGCCTTCGTAGGCCGTGAGTCTCCCGCACATCAGCACCAAAGGAAGGTAACAGGGACCCCATGAAGCTTGGGAATTCCAGCAACCACTTCGTGAAGTCTGAGTTTTGTCATTCGTGCAGCGAGGCTGCCAGCGGAAGGATCCTGCGTTAAGGCCGACAACGTGACACAATTCGGGTATGGGTCAAAAATTAAACCATCAGGGGACCGCAGGTTTTTGTCTTTGTTTCCATTTACCAGGGTTCCATTTTGGGCACCTATTCTTGACCCACACCCATTTGAGCCACAGCTGCCAGCCGTCATATGCTTGGCCCGGCCAAAGTACGGAGACCCATGTGCATCTCCTTCTCTTGAAGTCCGATTGGGTCGGTTTCTCACTAGGAATCCAGAGGGACCTCTAGTTTGGACGCCAAATGGGACAGATCCAGTGAAGGCTGATGGCAGACCCTACCTGCGCCACAGACTGACAAGGCTCTTTTGCTGCGAATGCTTCAGATGTGTGACCAAACTTGGCGAAGCCTTAGATTTTTTGAATTTGGAGTTTTGATTGTTTGGGGTTTAGAGTTGGATTTCTGCCATATCCCAGTAGCTTGACTTTAGCAAGAAATTGAGGAGCCACTGCCTGTTTGCTGCGCTTGCGCCTTTGGATAAGCTTTTCTCATGCACCAGCTAACAACTATATAGATACGTTTGGCACGTTCTAAGTCAGTAAGGCAATGTTTAAAGGTAGTGGCACGACATTTTGAGACAGTTCTTAACCGCGGCTTTGCTTTGTCTCGGCCAACACGACCTGGCCATGTGTTAACCCTGAAGCCTCCAGTTTTGCTCCGGGAAATGCTAAACACCCGTGAGGCAGGTCTGGACATACTGCAAGCTCTGTTTTTGTTTGGATGCGATCAAATTGATATGTGACGCGAAACAGTTGGTTTTGCGCCATTTGTTGGTTCATCACCCACCTCACAAGTGGTTGTTTTTTTGCTCCGTTAGGTTGTTTCTTTTGGTCCAGCTTAATTTAGATTGGTTGTTTCATCATCTCACAGGTGGGTGGTTTAGATTTGTTGTCGCGCTGGTTCTCAGCAGGGAATGAGAAATGGAATGACTCATGTTTTTTTTTTTTTCAATAATGTCCTTGGTTTCCTTTAAGCCTGTGGTTTCCTAGGGATAGGTTCATTTCCAAGACCCGGACTCGCAAACTCATCCCCGAATCGGGATCGCGGAGGTTTCCTTTGGTTCGCTTGATCAGTTTCTTGTTCGAGCTCCCGAGGCTCCAGTCTGAGCGATCGAATCGCAGTCAGAAATTGCATCCAAAGCAAAGCGGGGAGCTTTTGAGCTATGAACCAACAGGCTTCCTTTTTTCCTGAAATGAAGATGTTCTATATTCCATTTGTTGGTTTTAAGGGACTCTATCACTACTGAAATATGTGTTTCTTCCGGGGACTTAAGCAAATGGAGGGATGTTTAGAGGATGTTTACATTCATTGCATGTGCGGAACGCAACTAGCGAGAGGCATGTCAGAAGCGTCCACCAATTCATGAGCCGCAAGGGGGGGAGGTGTTTTTTTTTGCCCAGTCGTCGTCGTGTGGCCAGGCCCCCCTCCCCTCCCAGCTATTCATCAATATTCCTGAGCACTTTAATTTCTGCTTGCCGTTGGGCTGTTCATCAACAAATCTCGTGCTGCCCCAAGGCCAAGTTGGGAGAAGGAAAGCTCTCCAGCAGCAAAGACGTAAGGGCGCCCGTACGTTTTCGGGTGATCTGGCAAGGGCATCTTTCAGCCCTGCTTTTTATGGAGCAAATGGATGAATCTTGACTGTTTCTGGGGTTATAGAAGGTCAAACTACGGATCGTTTCCCTTTAACCCGCCACTTGGGGGAAACTTTGACAACTGCAAATTAAGAGGCCGGTTTTCCTCGTACCATGATGTCCTAGGTCTTCAGAGCCGTTGCTGGACCAACCAGCGCACCTTGGTCCCGGCTAGTATTCTTTGGCAACTCGCAGCTTCTGCGGCCCTGGTCGATAACCGGGGGAGTTTCCGCCCTCGGATGGCGGGAGAGACTTCGATCGAAGGCAAAGTTTTGCGGCGCGAGTGGATACTTTTTATCGAATCTGACCGGCCGGATGCTCATAGCGGGACCGGTGCGAAGGTTTCAGCCGAGCCCTGGTCAAGGCGTCAGACTTGACGTTCCTTCTGAAGAAATGCCCGGCGCTGGCCATCCTGAGAGCCTGGGCAAAGTTGAGCATAGCGTTTTCAGAGGAGTCGTATCGCGCCCAAGTCCATAAAAAAAGTCTTCTGGGTGTAAGCCCAATGTAGGGGTCAGGGATCGATGAAAGGATACTCACACAGATGCCGACAGAGAAGCAGCAGA